ATCGTTCTCACTTTCAAAAATAAACCGAAGAATCTTATGTGGGCATGCTCAATTCTAGAAAAGAAGGAAAATAATAAAAGTTCAAATTCCCTTTTTAATCATGCTCAAATGCAAATAAATCCATTTAAACCTCGCCACCATCTCAGAAAACAATTAAAATATGCTTCAAAAATTTACGGGCTTTACCATAATTTACTTACCTTAATTACACAGGACAGAAGGCCTAATCCCAGTGCTAAGGCCACAGGACAATCAAGGACCTAATCACAATGTTCCCAATTAATATCTATGTATACACAATTACACAATTACACAATTATAGATATACAATTTCTCAAACTAATGGACAGGAATTTGGGAGAACCGGCCTTGACAAAAAAAATGGCCAATTCACGGAATTCTCCCCTTTTTCTCTTGGACATCACACAACAATCAAACCCACTAATTTCCTACACCAATCATCAACCAAAACCCATTTTCCAATTGCCAAAATCCTCTCTATTTCAACAGAAGTTTCGAACAACCCAAGCCCATTTCATACAACCACTTAAACTCACAAATCAGCACTTAATCCACCAATTTTCGGAAATTAGAGAAGCTAACTTACCAAAAATCCTCAACTAGCAAGCTGGAGCTACAGATTGAGGGGAAGAGCCGGCGGGAAAATTGGAGAGATTCGGGAAACACTAGCAATTGAAAGGAACAAAGATTAGGGTGAACCCAACATACATCAAGGCTGAAAAGAGGAGTTTCTGGGCTGATTTTACCAGGAAAAACCGGAGCTTATACCCAGCAACAGCCGGCCACAGGGAAGGGAGAAGCAGAGCAGATCCGGCGGCTTTTCTGCAAGAGAGAGAAGTTCTAAGTTCTAGACTTGTTCTTGGGCAAGAGGAGAACAAAATCATCAAGTTCTCTTACCAATTTTTTTTTCGGATGAAGGCGCTGGAAATGGCTGGTGATGTTCGGCTGTAGGGAGAAAGGAAAACAGAGCAGACACGCGAAAATGCTGGGGAAAGAAAGAAGGAAAGAAGAAAAAGATAAAAAGGAATGAGTCAGCCGGCCTTATCCAATAACCTTTTAACCCCTTTAAAGTTTGAAAAGTTGACAGTTAGGTCCATTAATAATGTTCCTTCACCATTAGGTCCCTAACTCAACTTAATATGCTTGAAATTTTTTTGGGGTATTACATTGCAAAAACTAGATGAACAATTTTTAAATAAGAGAATGCACAATTTTTAAATAAGAGAATGCACATTTACAATCTTGTACTTTTTTTAAACATTGATGGAGGGATATGTCTTAGAAAGTTGCCTGATGTTATCTGGAATACTCCCACTCAATTTATTGCGAGAAAGATGCATGACCTATAACTTAGAAAGTTGTCTGATGCTATCTGGAATACTCCTACTCAATTTATTGCGAGAAAGATGCATGACCTCTAACTTAGAAAGTTGTCTGATGCTATCTGGAATACTCCCACTCAATTTATTGCGAGAAAGATACATGACCTCTAACTCAGAAAGTTGCCCGATACTATCTAGAACATTCCCACTCAACTGATTGTCAAAAAGATATATGCTCTCTAAATTAGAAAGTTGCCCGATGCTATTTGGAATACTCCCACTCAATTGATTGTCATGAAGATCTATGCTCTCTAATTTAGAAAGTTGTCCGATACTATCTGGAATACTCCCACTCAATTGATTGCTAAAAAGATCTATGCTCTCTAACTTACAGAGTTGCCCGATGCTATATAGAATACTCCCACTCAATTGATTG